CGAGTTAGATGGAATTGATGAGATTAAGATTTTTTTTAGAATTTGGGATAATATTGTAACTTCATTTTATGAAGTAGAAATGAATTGAATACATGGACAATTACTAATCTAGTCAAATTAAAAAAGTGATTAACATTTTTAGCCAAAAATTAGGATTTGTCTTAAACTAACCCACGAAACCGTTGGTGGTTAAAATGATCTACTGTTTCACCCATTTATCTACTGTTTTGATTTTAGTATATAAAGATTTTTTTTTTCATTTTTCACTATGAAACCGTAGATGAAAAATAGTCTACTGTTTCCCAAATAGTAGATTAGAAATGATCTACTGTTTCGTTTAAAACCTATGTTTTTTTAATGAAAAAAAAAACACTAACTTTTACTGTAAAAGAGATTTTTCTTTTAATATATAATAGGTACGATATAGTAGTAAAAAAGTTAGTGTTTTTTTTCATTTAAAAAAAAAAACTAAAACCATAGTTTTTTAGACGAAACAATAGATTATTTTTAATCTACTATTTGGGAAACAGTAGACTTCTCAGAGAAATCAGTAGACCATTTTTTCGTCAACGGTTTCGTAGTGAAAAATGAAAAAAAAAATATTTATATACAAAAATCAAAACAGTAGGTAAATGACTACAGTTTCGAAGGCTAATTTGGGACAAATCCTAATTATTGGCTAAAAAATGATAAGTCATTAATAAATTTGGTTAGATTAATAATTTTCCCTTAAATATACGAGGCTACAAATTACGATACAAAATAAATAAAAGTTAATTTGTAATTATAAATGGTGCGCTTGGCAAGCAAGTTTTTGAGAAATTTTAACTTTGTTAATTTTATAAAAAAATTCAAATTTTTGAGAACTTTAAGTTTTTAATTTTATAAAAGAAAATTCAGATTAAACAAAATTCAAAACTTAAAATAACTTTTAGATTTTTAAGTTTATGTACATTTATATATTTAAAATCTTTCAGCATAAATAAAAAGTAAAGATAAGATGATCTTTACTAAAGATAATATGATCTTTGATTCTTTTCTACTTTTAAGATCCAACTTTTATTTTCCTATTGCTTTGTTTCAACTGCGAAAGAAAATAGAGAAATTAATGTACAAGATTTGCAACACAAAGTACTAGTCAAATCTTGTGGAACACGACAGTTGACCAACCAAACCACCTTCTTCCCCAAGTTAATCGCCTTCTTCAACAATCTAACCTCCTCGTTCTCTTTCATTCTTCTATAAAACCACGCAACGCAGTTCTGGACCAAAACTCACTACCTCACATACGCCATAACCACCGTACCAATGAAGAGGGAGGGTCGTCAACACGGCTTTGTTCGGAGCTACATCATCTTCCCGACTCCCTTGTCTCAACAGAGGCACGTAAAGACGGTAGATTCTGCCTCCGTTGCCGGTTTGTTCACGAAGGTGTCAAGGAAGCCAACAAATCAGTCCAAGTTCACCGGGAAATGTGGTAAGGCACGATGCATCGGTTGTCATATCCATCCGGCTACTAAGTCAAAAGACAAGGCCAAGGGCACCATGAAGTTGAGATCAATCGGATCTGATCACGGAATAATTGGTTATCCTTCTGGTACTTCCGCTACCGGCGTATTAGCCTATTTAGCTAGCAAGGCATGTTATGATGGTGATGACGATGAATATGATGGTGCAATTGAGGACTGTGACTATGATTACCATGAGTACTAATCGTAACGTCGAAAATGGGATTGGATTTGCGTCGATTGCAACAGAGGAGAAAATTGGGGGTGAAGATAAAGATATTGTATGAGTTATTGTGACGTAGGATTGCCTTGGGGAGAAGGAGATGCGGAAGAGTACGTGGATGATGATTGGTATCGGGTTGAAGATATTCAACAGTAGTTCAATTCTTCAGTCCATTTGATCAAAAATGGGATAATCATATCATATAATGTTAATTTTCAGTCCAACTGATCAAAAATAGGATCATCATATCATGTTATCCCATTTTTATCTTAAAAGGTATTATTCATGTACCCGTTTCTAATTCATCAAAACCTGTTTGATCTACGATGCAGTTGTATTTTTATATATCATTGTCTTTGATGCTCAATTCGATTATTAATATATATAAGAAGATTTAGCAGCGTATATTGACGGGTTTTTGTTTCGATAACTTGTAAATGAAAATGTGCAATTTCCATGAAACGAATGAAGTACACAAGTTCAATGAAACATATATTTTTGAGTTCGATTTAACATTGAGCTTTTTGAGATTATTCAAAAAAACACCATCTAAGAGAGTGATTGATAGCATATTTTCATCCCCTTCTTCATTATCCCTTAATTCTTTTCTTGGGAAAATGACTTAAAAGCCCAACGAAGTTTCCAAACCATTCAAAAAACCTCAATCATGTTTTGTCTGTTCAAAAAAACCCAACGAACTTAACATTTTGTCTAAAAAGTCCAACAAAGTTTCAAACCATTCAGAAAATTCTAATTTTGTTTTCTTTAAGTTCGTTGGGTTTTTTTTGAACAGTCAAAACATGATTGGAGTTTTTTAAACGTTTTGGAAACTTCGTTGGTCTAACAAGTTATTTTTCCGATACGGTAATAAGTCACGTCATCTGTTTCTCTTATTTGACTTTCGAGAAAGTGTAACTTAGTTGGGTTTTTTAGATAAAATGTTAAGTTTGTTGGGTTTTTTTGAACAGACAAAACATGATTGGGGTTTTTTAAACGGTTTGGAAACTTCGTTGGGCTTTTAAGTCATTTTCCCTTCTTTTCTTACACTCTCTAAGTTAGACTTGTTCTTGTCAAACCAATCTTTCTGGAAACTACATATCCTACAATATGGCAATCTGGGCTCCCTTAGTGTATGTACTTTTCAAGAAGATTGCATAGTCCAAATCATTTTAATATATCCAAGACCTCAATGAACAGGTTTATTACGCCTTCGGTGGGTTTGCTTAACCAAGCCATTCCACATTAGTCGCCGACTCATTCTTCAACAGGCACGCGGTCAGAGTCCCGGGCTTCTCTCACTGCTTGAGAGCTTAGGGTTTCATGTTCTATTTCACTCTCCAATGGGGGTTCTTTTCACCCTTCCCTCACGGTACCCGATGGGGGTTCTTTTTACTGCCTACGCGGTTAGAGTCCCGATGGGGCTTCATTATCGGTCATCCAGGAGTATTTAGCCTTGAAAGGTGGTCTATGCTGATTCACACTGGATTCCACGTGCTCCATGCTACTCGGATCAGAGCATAAGTTAGTGATGCTTTCGGCTACAAGACACATATGATGTTCCAAATTTCAAACCAAAAATTACATTTTTAAATAAAGATAAACATGCAAATCTTATTCTTAAAAAGTGTAATAAACAACCATTTGTTTAAGTTTGACAATTCATAACTGAAAACTAGAGTAATAATAAGATATTGAAATCAAATAGGTGGAAGTCTTGAAAATATGTCAATGGATGCGATGCAATCAAACCATGTTCTTCCATTTGTTGAGGGAACAACTTGAAAACATTTAAACTTAAATAAGTACAAAGCTTAGTGCATTCTTCAAGATATCACATACACATGTGTATGTTATGATCTCACCATAGATTTACACTTACATTCGTTGATACAGTCACAATGCAGTCTTTAATGTTATGATCCCACTATAGTCTTTCATGCAAATGTTATAGTTCCATCGTAGTGTTTCATACAAATGTTATGGCTACACCATAGTCTTTCATACAAGTGTTATGGACCTACCATAGTCTTTCATATAAGTGTTATGGCCCTGCCATAGTCTTTCATACAAAAGGTCAGAAAGACAATTTACCATACCATGACCCACAGTGTCCTACATAGTTTAGTGATAAAACTTATCTAAACTATAGACTCACAAACTCAGAGGAATAAACAGGTGAACCTCAATCTATTGCTCAAACCTATCAAGTTTGACACAAAATTCAAACCGGTCAAAATTCATCGGTCAAACTCTAAGTCAATGTCAAGGTCAAAGTCAACGGTTAACGGTCAGGCATGTCATGACCCTTGACTTGACGCATTGCACATCACAACACGACAATTAGTCGGGAAACCTTCAGAAGACGCATCATGACCCTTAATGTCGTCTTTGCATACTAGCTTAACAGCCTTCCTTGTGAGCACTTTAATCCTTAAAGTCATAGGTTTCAAATCTCAAATCTGAAACCCACAATGTCTCTATGAATAAAGTTTCCAATTTTATCCATCTTAATTACTCAATCAAGCAAGATTTCTAACCCTAAGTCCAAATCCACTTAAAGCGCCAAATCCATGTGCATTATGCATGGCCTTCTAATCTAATATGAAAGGTCCAAAAGCAAGGAAATATCATTGGGAAGTTATGGAGTTCCTCAAACTCCATGAACATCAAGATTATGGGACCAAAATGACCTCTAAACCACCAACAACCTAGATCTAGCATTTACTCATAAAGATTATAAAGATATACTATAATGGTTCTTATAAAGATGTAAAATAACAATAAAAGATTAGATTATACAGTGGGTTGACATTTGCTTCACATTTCACGAATATGTCACATTTGATCGTTCAAATGTTATGTTAGCTATTTACTCATTTTGTCAACTAATATTTGTTGGGACATATAAATCACATAATTTGATATTTTGTACTTATTATGCCATAGCAACCACTACGACAGGTATAACTTGATTTCATGCTTATGTGTAATCCACATAGGCTAATGATTATAGTAATAATATGTGTAAGTAGCTTTTTTATTAAAATTTCTTATTTTTTGGAATCTTTTCTTATTAAAAAAATGTACAAAATTTGCAACACAAAGTACAAGTTAATCTTGTGGAACAAGCACAGTTGACCTGCCAAACCACCTTCTTCCCCAAGTTAATTGCCTTCTTCAACAATCTAATCTCCTGTTTCATTCTTCTATAAAATCACGCAAAGCAATTCTGTACCTAATAACTTCTAGCTCTCTTAACGACCGTACCGATGAAGAGAGAGGGTCGTCAACACGGTGTTGTTCGGAGCTACATGATCCTGCCGACTACCTTGTCTCAACGAAAATACGTAAAGACGGTAGACTCCGCCTCCGTCGCCGGTATGTTCACCAAGGTATCAAGGAAGCCAACAAATCAGTCCAAGTTCACCGGGAAATGTGGTAAGGCACGATGCGTCGGTTGTCATATCCATCCGGCAACTAAATCGAAAGACAAGGCCAAGGGCACCATGAAGTTGAGATCAATCGGATCTGATCCCGGATTAATTGGTTATCCTACTGGTACGTCGGCTACCGGCGTTTTAGCTGACTTAGCTAGCGACGCAAGTTATGATGATGGCGATGAATATGCAAATGAGGATTGTGACTATGATTACCATGAGGATACTAATTTTAACTTCGAAATTGGGATTGGACTTGCGTCGATTGTAACAGAGGAGCAAATTGGGGGTGAAGATAAAGATGATTGTATGAGTTATTGTGATGTAGGATTGTGTTGGGGAGAAGGAGATGCAGATGAGAATGGAGATGATGGATGGTATTTGGTTGGAGATATTCAGCAGTGATCCTATATGATCAAAACTAGGGTCATCAGTTCATCATGTCATATAATGTTCTTCCTTGTTTATATTCAAAGGTATTATTCCTTTACTGGTTTCTAACTTGTACAATAATGTAATGGAGTCATAAATGTTTAATAAAATTGCTGATGCGTGTTTATTTTGTATTCTATGAATTATTGTCTTTCATAATGAATTTATATAATTCCAACCGTAATTTATATCAGTAATCAGATTATAACAAAGATGATCACAAGGTAATGAACAACAAATTTTGATTGGATGAATAATCATTCCAGATGCTATTGATGTTTTATATCAGATTATTAAATTAAAATTATGTAACTGACATGATTATATAAGCCTAAAAGTTAAAACTATTAATCAGTTGATTAAAATACAATGCAAAAGCAATCATGGAAATTCTTGTTTATTTTCTCTTGAATTCTAACGTGTGCTCAATCATCACATCTTTACATACTTGTTACAAAATGATTTCGTTTTTGTAAAAATAAGTAATTTTAAAATTGATTTAATATACAAAATTAATTCAATCTACGAATTACTTTTATAACCATTATTTTATGAAATATGAATAACTTTGCTAAAACAAATTGCCAAATTCTTTATATTTTTGGAAATTCTTTTGCAAAATAACAGAAGTCTTTAGTGGCACCACTAATACACCAATTTTAATAAATTAGATTATCTTGTAGAATTGTTTTTTTTTTTTTTTTTTTTTTTTGCCAAATGGGTGATATTTCATTTATAATACAAAAATATAATTATTTCGTATTATAATACCCTCCCCGTATGGTATTTTAGTAATTATCCTCTTTTAAGTCTTAACAACGGCAACAACAATAAATCCATATAATCCTATTGAGATGGGATAGATAAGGTAGATGCCAACAATCATGTATCACAACTTATAGAACGACAACTTCACATAGATGACCTCTGACATGAGAAAAAAACAAGAGCATGTTAATGTTGTTGGAGCTTGAAGAACATAATTACTAAAATACCAAAATAAGGGGTTCATACAAAATAAGGGGTTCAATGGGATTACAAAAGTCTATGTTATTGTTGCTCTTGTTGGAACTTAAAGAATATAATTACTAAAATGCCAAAATTGGATGTGGGGGTGGTGGGGGGTATTAAAGTGCCAAATAGTTATATTTCATTTATTCCTCAAATAGATAAAATTCTTTAGCCATATTTGTAGGCCAAATGATCGGTTCTATGGTTTTTTTTTTTTTTAAATATGTTCCTCCCCTTGCTCTTTACAACTCTTTTTTCTAAACGTGTTACCTTTATACTAGAAATTGTCATAGTCAATCGAAACACATTGAATTTCGACCACACTCATCATAATTGAAACAATAAAATATTTTGTCACGTTTACAAGACCCAACAATTGCATTACATATAAGAACATAAACGTCAATCTGGACTATGGATGCCTTAAAACCAGTCCCACAACCAACATTAAAAAAAAAAAAAAAAAAAAAGGTAGATCATAGTATCATTAAAGCAAAAAATGTGATACCTTATAAATTACATCTTTCAACTCATATACTCTCAAAATCTTTTATATAATCTAACAAATTGCACATTTTAAGTCATCATCATCTCTCACACAATTTCAACATCATCAATTCTTTAGTCTTTACCTATTCCCCAAATTCTCTTTAAACTCACCACGCGAAGACACACTCCTACTCTTTTTCCCTCTTTTCTTCTGCCTTTTACCTCTAAGTATCACCATCATCACTACCCCAAATCCCAAAACCGAAGACCCCCACAAAAAAATCATCCAAAATCTAAAATCAAGAAATGTCTGACTGGATTCAGAAGGCAACAATTGGTCCACCACCTTTTCAGACATATTACCACTTCTCTCAAACTTAACTTCATCAACTATCTCCATATCTGGTGGAGGTGGGACCCGGGAACTTTCCCTCACATCACCACATCTCCTCTTTTCATGGTGTAACTGAAGAGCTTCATTCAGTGTCTTCCCGCATTCTATACTTAGCAAGTCACGTTGGTAAGCTTCCTCATTTGTTCGGTCAGCTTCTGAAGTTTCGGGCGGATCAGGAAACTTTGCCCAACAGTTGTTGACCAAGTCAACGTCCCTCCAGTTTGCTTTATCAAAACTCCAGTTCCCAACCCTAAAATCTAATCCATAATGAAATACCCGATACTTAACACCGGGTTCTGGAGCATACCCGGGGTATATCATAATCTCACGGCTTATAACATGCTGCAACTTCAACTGCACAAAAAAAAATAATTGAATTAAATTCCCATTTTAGTATTATTTATGCACAAATTGTGGATAAAAAACTTACCTCAGCTGCACCAAAGGAATAGCCATACATTTCACTAATCCACCCAGTTTCATAAATATCACCGGTTATATTTTTCCCATAATGAGCAGTATCAGCTCTAACTTCCTCTGTTTTATGCAACCATAAAAGAGCAAACTTTCTGAGATCATCTATGTGCATTATGATCACACCACCAACTTTATCACAAGCTTCAGGGTGGCTAGTATGGAGTTTTGCAAGCTCGTTGTCACACCCAATAAGGTAACTAACATTATTTACAAAAAAAAAAAAAAAAAAACATATACATCAAATTCAATCCATATTCCATAATACAAATTATTTCTTTCACTAAAGATTTTGGTTGTCTTACTCGTAAGGAGTTGAAACTGGTTTGCCTTTTGCTGCTTTAAACTCCCATGGTGTAATTGGTCCTCTCATGATCATATCAGCATCAAGAATTACTATAAATTCTGCATCTGTTTTGACATGATTAAGCCAATGAAGGACTGCAGCTGGTTTATTAATAGCTGGATACCAATCGCCTGTTAATGGATGTCGACTCATAGAAGGGACATAATGTGTGGGAGCCAAATCATGACCTTTGTATTTTTTCAAATCTTCTTCTGTACAACTAAGAAGCCGTGTAATATTTCCAGGTTGTCCACTCAGTCCAAAGCTGTGCATCAAACCAACAGTTTGCCAATCAAAATACGTGCTACATTCTGTTGAAAAAAGCGTGTGGATTTTTGTAATTTTTGTAGGTAGATTCTTGGGTTCATCTTCATTAATATGTTCTTGAACATGTGTTTCCATTATCTGGAGACTCTTGGGAGTCAAACCTTTCGGTTGAGTCAACTCAGCAAAGTGTTTGCTTTTCAAGAAACTCAAATATTTTGACCATTTTGGTTTTGGGCATCCGAATGCTGCGTGTTGTATTATCAGACCTTGGTTTAGTGTATTAATACATTCTAAATTCAAGAAAAGCCCCCTTACTTTGTGTTTATCAGGTTCCATTGCTTTCACCTACATAAACTCTTAACATTAAGTATATATTATATATAGAATTATAGTTACAGTATCAGATGACCTGAAATAAAGAAATTTATAACAAAAAAAATTTGTTACCTCTCGGGGGAAAGGAGGTTCAGGGAAGAGGCGTCCACAGTCATATACAATATCATCTTCATGGTGTTCTAATTTACTAAAAGACCAGTTTCCAACAGAAAATGGTAAGCCATAATGCATAAGAATAGGTTCAACGCCCTCACGTGGAATATATCCAGGGTAGATCATTAGATTATCATTAATTTTATGTCGAAGTCCCACCTGATAATTTGAATGATAGCAACTAAGAATTTTGAAAGTGTAAATATATCAATCGATAAATGGAATTAGTGAAATGAATTACCTCTGCTGCACCAAATGAGTATCCATACATCTCACTGATCCACCCTTTGCCATAAATATCACCAGTGATATTTGTTGACCAATGAGCAGTGTCTTCTCTCACTTCTTCTGTTTTGGAAAGCCACATTGGTGCTAAAGCTCTAAGATCATCTATATGCATGGCTAAGAGCCCACCAACTTTGTCACATAGTTCTGGGTTCTTTGTGTGCAATTTGGCGAGTATATTGTCACATCCCACTAAGTAGCTATGCAATTTATCAAACATTGAAGATCCTTAAGTGAATTTCCATCAAGAATGATTGATATATGGAAATTAAGATTATGAAAATGGTTATATACCCGTAATAGGCAGCAACAGGTCTGCCTTTCTCTGCACCAATCTCCCATGGTAGAATTGGACCTCTGATGATCATATCTGCATCTAGGATAACAACCCAATCAACATTTTGTGCATCTTTACTGTGTTTGAGCCAATGAACAACTCCTGCTGGTTTGTTAATCGCAGGGTACCTGTAGTAAATACACAGATTTAAGATTGTACTTTGACAGGACAAGAAGTGAGAATCTATTGCAGATTTCAACACAAATTTAGTGGTTTAATCAAGCTGAAAACACACAAATGAGCCACAAATTGACCAGGCTATTTCATCACTTAATATCAAATTGATATATTACATCATGCATCTAACCTAATCAATCAAAAGGATATATACGCAGACAAAATCGCAATAGATTCACAGAGAAAAAAGCGCTATTATGGGATTGAATGAAGTTACCAGTCACCAGTTCTAGGGTGTCTACTCATGGAAGGGACTTCAAAGGTGGGAGCCAAGTCCATTCCTCTATAACTCTTCTTCTCCTCATCAGTGCAGCTGAGAAGCCGTGTAATCGGGCCTGGTTGACCGGATTTCCGGAAGCTATGAACGAGCCCCACCGTCTGCCAGTCGAAGTAATTTTGGCATTCAACTGAAAACAATGTGTGGATCCTGTACGGCGCTTCCTGACTCCATCCGATATTGATCAAACACAATACCACCACTAAGGTCAATAACCCTGCCATCATGCAGCAACTCGAAGCGACAATTGAGCTGAGTGAGGTCTCGAAGATCTGGATCGCATGACTTTGTGGGTCAAACGTCGAGTTTTTGTTGTTTTTAAAGAGAGAAAGGGTGGTGATGGAGAACCGCGACTGAGAATGAATTGAAAATTGGGGTTTTAGGCTTTGATTTTCAACTGCCACAACCCCATCGATGTGATATGAACATGGAATGATTATTAAAATGATTTGTGATTGTTACATCTAAGAACGAGTTCGAGTGGCTGACTAGATCAAAAGTCAAAGGGGATAATAGATTCATGAACGTTTGCAGCGTGGATTTGTCAAATGGAAACCAAAGGACACACCCGTTTATATAGTGAACGGACTTTGCACCGTTGATTATACATCTGCATGTTCATCCGACCGCTAAGTTACAAGGTTGATATTTGATGTTTGAGATTGTTTATATACGTTTATATATTTCAAAATTGTTAACAATATATTTTAAAGGGAAATCGAGTAAACTAACTATTTTTTTTGGTGTGTTTTCTTTTTAAGTAACTCATTAAATTTTTTTTTTTTGTAAAAGTAATCATATTTTTCGGAATGGTTCGTTCCGAAAACAATTTCAGACTCGTTTCTGATGGACTGATTTATTATATTTCCTCCGGAATGGGAGTTCCGGAAACAATTCCAGAGTATCCGTACGTATTCTGGATCTCGGATTCAAAACTCAAATTCCGGAATATATTATGAAAAAAATTCAAACCTCGACTTCATTATGGATCCCGCTCCGACTTTTATTCTAGATCCCACTTCGACTTTTCGATTTCGATCTCCGACATGCGATTTCGCTTTCGATTCCGATTTCGATCTCTGTTACGCCACTTTGATTCTCAGATTCCGATTATGATATCCGGTACACAACTTCGATATGGAATATGAGAACTATGACCCGGTTGTTTTATGGGTAAGTTCTTTACTCAAACTTAAGATTTTTGTTTATATTCATATCCTCCAGAATGAACTGACAATGTTCCGGAGTTGTAATAGAAGATGTCAGCTCTTTAGGACGAACCCAAACCTAGTTTAGTTGTTTGTATAATGTGATTATTTATTGAAAATGTTGTTCCGGAACAAAATGTTGAATTTCGGAATTCGAAGAACACCTCCGGAATGAACTGAAAACGTTATGGAGTTACAATATAAGATGTCATTAGTTTATGAACAAGCCCAAAATAGTTTAGTTGTTTATATAATGTTAGTACACATCGAAATCTAGTGTTCCATAACATAAAACTGCATTCTGGAACACCCCAGAATGCGATGAACTAACCTGAAACTTGAGGAACATGTCTGGAACACTAAGAACTAGTCCGAAATATTGGTCAATTTTCATTCCGGAATTGGTTTGTAATATATTTTTTTATTGTAAGACGACTGTAACGTCCCAAAAATTAGGACTAAAAGTTTAGATTTTTAAATTAATAAAATCATTATTCAAAACAACATCATAGAGACCATGGTGAATCAAAGTGTATCAATAACATCCAAATACATCAGAGTAATATAAAACGCGGAATGATGTAGTGTGTGTACTGCAATCTTCCCAGACTCTTCCTCTTCGAACCAGAAGTACCTAAAACATAAATTGAAAACCGTAAGCATAAAGCTTAGTGAGTCCTCCAAAATACCATATACCATACATATCAAACATATAGTGGGGCCCGCCCGACATCGATCCTCGCTTGTAACAGATCTATCAATCATCAGGCCCCACCTGACATCGAGTCCTGCCCGATATACATATAAAAACATAAACATATAATCATATAACACATGCAATAATTACAAAGATAAATAGCATACATAATACTTATTAGGCCCCGCCAGGTAAACATATAAATACATACCACATATAAGAGCCATGCAAACAACTAGCATCCTAAACATAACAAACCATGGGCCGGCATTGGTGCCTTCGACCCGCTAAACATAGTGAAGAAACACACATTTAGTTGTTGAATCTCTCAAATAAATCTCGGTCTGCTGGTCCGGAAAATCCACACGCTAACATCATTAAATAGTATCCAATTAATAATTGGATCTCGACCCATAAACAAGAATCCAAGCTACTTGTCCAATATCCAGTGTAAAAGACCATTTTACCCTTTTCTTACTTGGCCAAAAACCAATACCCAACCTATTTGCTCAAAAGGCCCAAATTCCTAAATGGTATCATAAGGCTCAATAACACCCAACTTCCAAATTGAGCCTAAAAATCATCATGGACCTAATCCCAAAAAAAAATCATAGTCTATCCATGTCCCAAAGTCAGAAGTCCAAAGGCCTAAACCCTAAAAGCCCAAAATATAGCCCAAACTGATGAAGTCAAACCAAAGGTCAATCTGTTGAGTATGTGGGGCGTACTCAACTCGTACGCTTAGCGTACTCCTTCTGGGGCCCATATGCGCAGTGTACCAGCTGGGTATGCCCAGCATACTCCCCAGATTACCAACCCAACCCATTAAGCACTTAAATGGTTAAGCCAACATGCTAAACTCTCATATCTGATTCTAAATTGCGACTTAATATGTAAACTTGACAACTTTACAACTAGGCATGACTTAATAGGGTCCAACACTCAAAAAGAAGCTTAATAAGACTCTTAACACTTGCATGGACTAATATCTCTCGTAAATTTTGCATTTTTATGAACAAGGGACCTCAATGCACCTAAGAGCTAACATCCATGGCTTCTGGAGTAGATCAAAAGCTCAACATTAGCTCAAAAGACCAAAAAAAAATGCATAAATAACACCTTAAGTTGGATCTAGCATAAAGAATCATCAAGATGTGAGCTTTTTTACCTCAAATGACTTGCTAAGATGAAGATGACCCTTGATCTACAGCCCAAGCTACTCCCAAGCAACCACCAAGTGTTCTTCTTCTCCTTCTTTACTAGAAACACTACCAAATCTCACTTTCAAGCTCAAAACTCACTAAAAGCACTTAGGGTTTTGTTTTTAGGGTAGACAGTGATGGAGGTTGATTAATAGAATGTCCAAAGGTGGTATAAGTTGCTTAAATAGGGTGCAAACGCTAAAAACTAGGGTTTTCCCTTGCATCACGTACGCCATGCATACTCCACGTACGCCCCACATACGTGGGTGAATCCCGCATTAAGAAAAGAGCTAGTACGCTAAGCGTACTCATAGAGAACGCCCCGCGTACTAGATAGGGACCAAAAAGATATAGATTTTGCATTAAGGGGCTAAAGGGAAACATACCAAATTATGAATATTACAATTCTCCCCCACTTGAATCAGACTTCATCCTCAAAGTCCACTGCCATAAATAACTTTGGGTAATGCACCCTCATATTGTCCTCTGAATCCTACGTACATTTTGAACCCTTACGATGCTGCCACTAAACTTTAACCAACTCAACAACCTTGTTCCTCAAGGTTTTCGTCTTCCGGTCAAGAATCACCACTAGTCTCTCGATATAAGTCAAGTGATCATCTACCTGGATATCCTCCAATGGAACCACCGTGAAATCATCCACTAAACATTTCCACAACTCAGAGACGTGGAACATGCTATGGATATGACTAAGCTCCACAGGAAGATCTAAGCGATAAGCAACCCGACCCACCCGAGCCAAAACTCGGAAAGGACCGATGTACCTGGGGCCCAACTTGCCCCTCTTCCTAAATCGAATGACACCTTTCCAAGGTGACACCTTCAGAAGGACCATATCCCCAATATGGAACTCTAGATCTAATTGGCGCTTGTCGGCATAGCTCTTATGCCAACTCTGAGTTGTTTGGAGTCTACTCTGAACCTGCAGAATCAACTCGGTAGTCTTGAGTACCACTTCGATACTCCCCATGACTCGCATACCAATCTCACCCCCAACAATTCGGCGTCTTTCATTTCCTCCCATAGAGCATCTTAAAAGGAGGTCGATCAATGTTAGCGTGATAACTGTTGTTATACGAAAACTCCACCAAAGGGAGATATGTATCCCAACTTCCACCAAAATCCAAAACACACACCCGAAGCATATCCTCCAATGCCTGAATAGTCTGCTCGCTCTGACATTCATCTTGGGTATGGAAGGTCATGCTGACGTGCAGGCAAGTACCTAAATCGTCGTGGAACCTCTTCTAAAATCTAGAAGTAAACCAAACGTCCCTGTCTGAAACCACAGAAAACGGTACCCCATGTCATGCCACGACCTTCCTGATGTATATCTCAGCCAACTTCTCCGCAGAGATACTCTCATGAATTGGAATAAAATACACAATCTTGGTCAATTGATCCACGATGACCCAAATTGAATCAAATTCGAGTGCAGTCCGAGGTAAATTCGTAATGAAATCCATGATGATCTCCACCTATTTCCAAACCGGGATGTCTAACGACTGCATCTTTTCATGGGGCTGCTGATGTGCAACCTTGACTTTCTGGCAAGTTAAGCACCTCTCCACGTACCAAGCTACATCCCGCTTCATACAGGACCACCAATAATCAAGACGAAGATCTCTATACATCTTTGTCACCCTCAGATGAACGAAGAATCTTGATTTGTGCGCCTCCTCCTTTAGAACCTGGTGCGCACCACCCCAATACGGAACCCACACTCTCCGATGAAGATTCAATAACCCACTGCTATCATAATAAAAGGAAGCCACATGACCTAATATGCGCTCACTCTTTCGATGCACTTCCTTCGTAGCCTCAACCCGAGTTTCTTTGATCTGCTCAAGAAGTGGAGTAATCATGGTCATCCTCAAACAAATATCCCTCGTCGGAGTCGCAACCGCCTTATGGGTAAGAGCATCATCCACCACATTGGCCTTCCCGAAAATGGTAAAGGGTCTCACAATCATAATCCTTCACCACATCCAACCATCAGCGTTGACTTATGTTCAGATTTAACTGATCCATCAAATACCTCAGACAATTATGACCCGTGTAAATTGTATGATGACCCCATAGAGGTAATGTCGCTAAATCTTAAGGGCGAAAACCGCACCCCCAAGCTCTAAATCATGTGTCGCATAATTCGCCTCATGAGACTTCTGATGCCTCGAAACGTAAGCAATCACGTGACCCTTTTGCATCAAAATTGCACCCAAACCCATGATCGACACATCATAATAAACCACGAAATCCACAACATCATATAACAGGGTTAAAATCTATGCCTCACCCAATCTCTGTCTTAGGGTTTTAAAAGATGCCTGCTACTTAGGCCCCCAACAAAAAGTGACAATCTTCTTCGCCAATCGAGTCAGAGGAACTTCTATCTTAGAGAAATATTGAATAAACTTCCGATAGTAACCTGCCAACCCAAGGAAACTCTGAATCTTAGATGCAGACCTCAGAACCTCCCTCATCATGGCCTCGACCTTGGCCGGATCGACAAGAATATCGTTTTGGCTGACAAGGTGCCCCAGAAACTACACCTCATGCAACCAAAACTCACACTTAGAGAACTTTGCATAAAGTCTCTCCCTCCTTAAAGTATCTAATACATCCCTCAAGTTATCCTGATATAACTCATGGGTCTTGGAATAGAATAGGGTATCATCAATGAATACAATCACAAACCGATCCAACATCGGCCTGCATATGCGGTTCATGAGGTCCATGAACGCGGCTGGAGCATTGGTGAGCTCGAAGGGCATCACCACAAACTCATAATGACTATAACGAGTCTGGAAGGTCATCTTCTGCACATCCTCTTCCCTGAACCTTATCTGATGATAACCCGAATGCAAATCAATCTTGGAAAAACATGATGCATCATAAAGCTATCAAAAAAAATGATCAATCCTCGGGAGTGGATAATGGTTCTTTACCGTTAGCTTATTTAGATCATGGTAGTCAATACACATCCGATGGGACCCATCCTTCTTCTTCACAAACAGGATTGATGCTCCCCATGGCAAACTGCTCAATCGAATAAACCCTTTGTCTAACAACTACTGTAGCTCTGTAGACAACTTCTGCATCTCTGGAGGAGCTAACCGATACAGTGCTTTGGCTATCGGAGTCGCGCCAAAAACCAGGTCAATCCTAAACTCCACTTATCTCTGCAGAGGTACTCTGGGCAAATCCTCCATAAACGCATTCTCGTACTTATTAACACGCTGTCGCATGCATATTAAGCAAATAAATTATCATTGCTGGCTACACTAAAAATATAGCACAGGGAAGCAAGGTCGAATCCTCAGGGACACAACCTAATGGTAAATGTTTTTTGCATCAGGCACAATCTAGTCAAGAAACAAAAAATATAAAAGGGGATTTTAATTAAAAACTAAAAACTAAAAATGCAGTGATATTAAACTAAACGAAAATCAATAATAAAACAGTTTCAGCTCT